AGACCACTACAAAGAACTGACCGGCAAAAATAAGTCGCTGCTGATCTGATGGAATTCCCTCCTTGTCCTTGAATGCTGGCTTTCACATTCTCGATTGTGTCTGAGGCTTTGACTTCCAAAGTGATTGTCTTTCCAGTAAGGGTCTTTACGAAGATCTGCATTACTTCTCGAGGACGAACGACAAGATGAAGCATCGATTCTTTTCCGATACTGTAATCCGAAAGCGTTCGATCGTCTTCCAGTTGTTTGCCTATAAAAGATTAAATTATAGTTCGCAAGATTCGTAGATTAATTATAGTATAGTATGGTTCGTTGACCAGAAATCCCTTAGAACAAGAGGGGGACACTGACCTGCAAAGATAAGTCGTTGCTGATCTGGTGAGTATCCTTCTTTATCTTGAATCATTGCCTTCACATTTTCGATGGTGTCCGAGCCTTCGACCTCGAGTGTAATTATTTTCCCGGTCAGGGTTTTCACGAAGATCTGCATGCTGAAGAAGAAGATGCCTCCTGCAGCGATGATGTGTCAACAAAACAGTGTAAATTTAGTAATTAAATAGGGTTTTAAATCAAATTGTGGCGATTGGTTTACACGTACGGATCTTCGGCGGCAGAAGGGAGCCTGTAGATAGGCAAGCTACAACTACTCAATGATGATTACAGAAATTTTAAGGGTTGCACACGGTCAAGGGTGATCTCGACAAAAATGGCCCGTCATTCAGAGCGCCCAGAAAGTATTGAATAGGGTCAAACTTGCGTTCACAAATCTTCGCAAATCATACTTCTGGGAGGGTGCTGTCATATTCAATACTGTCAAAATAATCAAATACTGCTGTCATATTTGGCCTCCCGAATGCGCAGTAGACCTGTACGTCTGTAGAAGCTTCAGATTAGCCAGTTAATGTCTAAAGCAGGGCACATCATTGGTTGGGGATTTTAGTCGAGTCTGTACGACCCCCTCCCTTTTCGCGGGGAGAGGGGTTGGTCCGACCTCCAACCTCCTCCGGCCTCTGTTCCTGCCTCAATCGGAGCCGTCGAGCGGTGGGGTGGTAAATAGCACAACGGAAAGAGTCCGCAAAGAAAAATAACGCCCCCCTCCTCCCCCCCTCCCTTCTACCAATCCTCAGATTTCCCCCAACTTTCTGCCACTTTTTCCAAAATTTCCCGAAAACTTTCCTACTTTTCCCCAAAAATTTTTGCTGTCGAGGGGCAGGGGGGGGGGGGCGGGGGGGGGGGAGGGGGCATATAGTACGCATGAAACAGGAAAATCACCAAAAGTCAACCACCACTCCTACAACGCCAAAACGTAAATACGACCCTCCCCCCCCCCCCTCCCAACAATGACCAAGTACGACCCCCCCCCCCTTTACAACGTCCGTGAAGCGAGAAAAATTCAACTAATAAAATAAATTTTTCCCTGCTACGACCCCCCCCCTATTGGGGATTCCCACAACGATTTACCCTGGCTCTAAGAAGCGTAATATTGGTTTGGGCACCTGTCTCGAGAGTTCATATAAGGATCATAAAAAATTTGCTATATTAGGGCAAGCGCGCCGTAAAGCCGATCATAGAACTAGTCATGTTTTTGCGTGCTGAAATGTTTGTTGTTTGGTTTTCTTCGTGTTTCAAGCACATGCTATATATCTGATGTTGATCGAACTTGTTGCGCCCCCCCCCTACCTGCTGCACCCCGTGCTGTTGCTGGAGGAAAGAGGGTAGGGGATACATCGGAAGAGGGACATAGTGTTGAGTCTAATATCAAGAAAAGGATTTTTTTTCTTTTCTTTTCTTTGACGCCACGATTGACACCGTCGTCTATATGAGCTCCGCTGTGTAACTAAGCAATATTGTAATGAGGTTCCAAATGCATTATAGAGTTACCTGCCACAAAAACCGCACGTCTGAGCACAGAACCCCTTTCACAAAGTAGTCTGAGGGATTACTGCAACGGCCTTGTTCGCGCCACTGCTTGCATTGTCCTGCATCGGTTCTGTCACTGCACGCCTAAAAAATATGGACGGAAAAACGGAGAACTTTTGTTTGAGATGTTTTTTAAAACATACCCGACGTTCTTGGTGAAAATTCCCCCTAAAGCCCCAAGTCATGAAAAAGTGCGCCATTAGATACATAGATCCACTCAGATGAAAATAGTGGTATTTTCCAGAAAGTCGACTACTAGACAGTTTCCAGCACGAGCGGCTAGCCAGCACTATGCCACAATTACGGTTCCCAAAACTCAAAATTTTTTCGCTGAAACTCTGCTTATAGATGTTATTCGGTGCTCTGATCACGAACATGGTATTCATTTTGTAGAATCACCGCAATTCAGCGCTCTACCAAGAATGGGGCTTCGAGGAGGATGATTTCTTTCCCGTCAGGCTCAGCCTTAGCAGAGCGCAGACGATTGGAGTGCTTACATTGTTTTTGGTTTTGATGGCGCATAATTGGCTCCTATTAGCACAAGAAGACACCATTTTAAGAAGCGAGCATGATAGTCGTGATTGGGATGTCAAACAACCCCCGTATACAAGTTGTTATCGATATTGGTGGAGAAGGTGATGGCGCTGAATTTTCGTCTTTTGGCACGAAACGGCGCTGCCGTCGAAAACCTAGCGTGATATTCGTGATCATGCTTGATATTTCATATTTGAGGTTTTCAACGGTGGCGCCATTCCGCGTCAATAGACGAAAGTAGACGGTGCAGTCAAGTAGTTCTTTCAAAAAGTTCCCACCGATTTATATCGCCAAGGTAGCGATTATTGGAACCAAATATCCAGTATCATATTCGTGATCAGGGCACCAAATAACCTCTTTAGAAGTGTCGAAAAATTCTTTCTGAATTTCTAGGGTAGTGACGGTGGAGCAATCCAGGCTCAATTTGGACACAACCTGACAGTGGAGAAGGTTCCTGAAAATACTGAATCGTCCACGGATACGCAAGAGTGGGCGGAGATGCCGCCCTGAACAACTGTCAGAAGTAATCAATGGGGAAGGGGGGGGGACGAGGGGTAGGGAAATGCTTCTAAGTCACGAGAAGAGGAAAAGTCCACCACATATCTGGGAGAAAAACCTCTCCAAGCAAGGGCATAGCCTCTCTAACACAGTGATTAATTATTACCCTTGGAGTTCTTACATGTGATGGGGCGCGTCTGATTCTTTGTGATGATGTAAAGTAGACCACAGCAACTCTAATTCTTCTTTCCTAGCAACAGTGACGAATTAGGATATTAAATCGAACTGATTTCAACTTCATATTGTTCTTTCGAATATGAAAAATAACAAATAAGTCAAACACAAAAAGAGCGCCGTGGCAGACGCCAAAAATTGAAGTTGACTTTTTTATAAGGCGTCATGCGCTCCACTATTGAAGGTTCTCAGGATATCTACATAAAACTTGACTTGCCATAGATGGAATTACGTTAGCAGGAGAAGCAGCGGAAAACAAAGCGTAGAATATGTCGAGTTTTTTCTGAAGTCAGCAGAGCACAGGCAAGCGGGGCTCGCTAGTTTAGTGCTTTATATTATGTAACTTCTGAACGTCCGTTTGCAGGTGTGTTGTCATATTCGCTTGATGAAGCCCTCTCACAATATATTCGTGAGGCCTTCAATCTGTACGTGTGTATACTTCATATGTATCGCTCCTAAGATGCGACCAAATTGGGCAAAGACCAATTTGCGAATTGCTATATTCACATCTGCCTATATCTATACTCGAAATCCCTGAGATCGGGTAGGCGTGGCCGCATGTTTCAACTTAACCTGAAGGTGTCTATGCTTCTGGTGAGATATTTTCATCTTGACACAACTGTTGTCGTGTCTCTGTCCAACACAGAACAAGATGACAGTTGTCCCAGACTGGAATATTCCATGAGCAACCAGTTCCGTGCTATGCTCAAATGCCACGCCTACTCTGGCTCAGGGATAAGGAGTGTATGTTATGGGTAGGATGGAGCCGGCGGTCTCTGTAGGGAAATGAGATACAGCTGATATCGTCGCGCTCAGTCGGGGCGGAGTCAAGAGAAATGGATTGGGCTCACTGGTGGCGTATTCTACCAGTGGTTGTTATCTAGCTGAAGCGCCTTACAATTGGTAGAAATGGCAACCGGGGACGGGCCGATCCCGCCCCTCTCCACACCGCCGCGACTGAATGATATCAACTATAATTCTATCCTTTACAGAACTCTGTTTTTAGTTCTCAAGCCCGTCTGACTTCAATTCACCGTATTAGTCCTTATTTTCATATATGTCTATTAAAGGTAATTGTTTTTTGAGCACAATCCAAATGTGTGAAGATAAAAATCAATCAGTTGTTGTAATGATACATGCGCGCTTGTTTCATAGAAAACCCTGTCAATAAAATCAGGAGCTGAGGCTCAGAAGAAGGGCGGCATTCAGCATTCATCATTGATTGTGTTTTGTGAGATACACCATGTTTAATGGTTTGCCCAGGTGTCGATGACCTAGCTATAGCAGATAGCTTCAGCTTCTGCACCTCCAACCTAGCGGGGCACTGGTTTGCTTGATACTGTAAACAAATTACAGCCGCAATCATCGCAAATTGTAAACAATTCCCAACCTACCGGTGTATCCTAACTCGCACCGTAGGGTGGGATAATAAAAGTTGTTTTGTTGTGCCCGCTGTCGCCATGTTCTCATAGACTAACACGGCAGGTCTATGTCTGGATGCCTGGTCCTTGCCCGTGTGTGGAGCGTGGAAGGGGACCACAAGTATTGCAGCACGGCAGTCTTCTACGTTTCTTGAAGTGCGACGTAGATGGGCTAACGGGGGAGTGATTGACCCGCAGTGCTTTATTTTGGCTGACCGGCACCAACTTCCGCACACTCAATTTCAAGCCTAACCAAATCGGGGATACCTGTATTGCGCCCTCGGTTCTTTTCTCTACAAACAGAGGTGAAGCTTTCGCTGCGGACTTGTATGCGGAGAGCAAGTTGTGCACATGTGGTAGTTCGACGTTATCACATCCAAGAGCGGGTATTCACTACCCGCCGCGTCCGTTCCTGTGTACTTTTGGCCGGAGAAGTGGCGCACTCCTGCAGCTGCAAACCCATTCACGTCACACATGAAAAGGACCGCTCTCAGAATTGAATGTACACTATGCCTTCAGGGCATTCCTTTTAGCAAGGACTTTCCAGACAGCTCAGTACTATCTAGATTGAAAGATGTCGCTCTAAACGATTGCTTCTACGCATAGTTCTGCGAAGTGCTGACCCTCGTTTTTCTTCCTGTGAATTGGGATGAAATCTATTAAAGTCTCATGATATCCCTTGGTTGACACTTTTGAACCCTGCCAACATTTCATGGGATAAGCTAATGAACAGTAAGCCTTCGCAAGGCGTGATGTAGAATTTTGAAGCTCGTCAGCACGTATGCAATATTTTATTCGGTATTGTCTAGATGAACTTCTACAAAAGGATGAAGCTAGCGTTTTCATATGGCGGCACTGCATAAGCATTATCTTCGCTCAGAAG